GTTATAGCTCTTGGATATAATAGATATATCTATATAATCTAAGAAGATTCTCACATATTTGAAGGAATTATTCTGAAGTAGAGAAACAATGATATGAGACTGAGAAACAACGGCCGAAGATTCAAAGTTATTGTGGATAAAAAACTAATCTACTAGTCTATAAATACTTCAGGTTGACAAATGTTATTTACAGATATGTTAACTAATATCTACAATTCTACGTACGTAATTCATAAGATGATATTGCAAATGCGCCCATCAGAATATAAAATATATATAACAATCCATTGTATAATATTGAGCACCATAACAACTATACATGATTATATTTCGATTTCTCCTCTAATAAAATAATAAGAAGCATCAGAACAATAATTGCCAAGAATTGATATTCTTCTTCATGATATCTATATACTACTATTATTTGGGGTTATAGTTATATAAATGATGTTGAGACTCTACGATTCTGATATTTCTTCATTTTGGTAGGCGTGCAAATTTTGACTTATTCCAAAACAACACAACAGGACGTTTTTATCGAAGAAGAAATCCAGTAATACTTGGAACTGGAGCGATAACATCATATCCAATTCTATATTCGATACCTTAAATCGCAGAGGCTAAGTAGACATAAGTATGGTTTTTTCGCAGTCAGTTGGAGCGCTTCGAGCAAGGATTATCTGTAACGTGCGGTGAATGTTTTTTGCTCGATCTGCTTGAATTGACTTCGGAAATACTATAATTTCAGGAATATACAAGAATCAACATATTTTTCAAACGATAACAACTGGGAGGTCGTTTCAAGAAAAAAAGTTTATTCTCGTTTCTTGATTTTATTCATTCCCTACAGTGTTATATAACACCAATAAACAATATACTTATTTTGCAAGATTACTGCATTCAATGATATCAATAATATGCGATACATGGTTGCATTTGGAATTCTTATATGATCAATACATTCTCATTCTGATAACCAGTAAGTATATATTTTTATTCAAATGACAAAACAATTGTTATTTGAATCGATACAGAAGTATATACCTTTATCAATGAAGTTAGGTATCGACTACCATTTTCACATTTCGCAAGCCTCTCGGAGACTTCTGAGAGTTGCTCGTGAGGGGGAAAATGAATGACAGCTAAGAAAAAATTATTATAAAACTCATCTACAGAAAACGCTATTTGACTATGACGTGAGTCATTTTGACATCAATAAAAAAGAATGCACCTTCTTAGTCTCTGTGAAACTGCTTGTTCCCCAAAACCATATTTCATCTCCTAGGTATGCGCCTGATGTCACTCCAATTTCTGTCAGGTCAAGCTTGATTGTTGGGTATTGTTTACGCGTTGATCAGCAAGATGAGCCGTTTTAGAAGAATTGCATACTACAAGAAACACGAAATCTTCATGAAGGTAAATATCATTGTTGTTTATCAGTAAACTGTTTTTTCAATTTGATAAATTTCCTTACTACCTCAAGAATTTTCTATCAGAAATTTCTCTCGGAAAACAGACATTTGTCAGTTTATTCCGTAAATCTACTGATTGGCAAATTATGTTTTTCGTTAGGAAGACAAATTCATCCGATTGAAAAAGCTCTTGTGCTTTTACTTCTGAAAATTCAATTCATGTATATGAAACCCCATAAGCCGTTGTGATTTTCTCATTATATCAGCGACGAAACTTTGCCCTAAGTTATTCAGTGATAAATCAATTCCTACACCAGAAAATCGATGACCTGAGTCATTTTGACATCGATAAAAAAGAATGTACCTTCTTTATCGCTGATAAACTGCCTGCTCCTCTGATCTAGTAGCTATTTGCGCCTGATATCACTTCAATTCCTGTCGTGTCAAGTTCGATTGATAGGAATGGTTTACGCGTAAATCAGCAAGATGAGCCGTTCAAGGGAAATTTCGTCTGAAGAAACCACGAAAATATGAAAAAATCAATTCCGAATAACAACCAGTAACACGGAATCATTATTAAAGGTAATCATTATTGTTGTTTATTTGTATATTGTCGTTGATTTATCTTGACAAAAAAAAATTCGAACTATTTTTCAATTTTCCATCTCGAAAAACTAACTTAAGACATATCAGTTTGTTTCGTTGAATTACTGATCGGCAAATGTTTCTCGTTACCAAGAAAAATTCATCATATGGAAGAATTCTCTTGTGTTTTTATTGTTGATAAAACAGAACCTCATACATTCAAAACCATGGCAACCAGAATTGTGAACGAATCTTGATTGCTTTTATGTTATCATAAAGAAAAACCCAAAGTCGTCTCCACAAATTCAATAAGAGAAATGCAGTTAGTTCTGCTTCATAACAGTTTCGTGAGACATGTTTCGACCGTTCAAACGGTCATCATCAGTCAAAGCTTAAAAGTAAATCTGTAAAGAAAAATCATTCAAACTAACATCTAGCAACCATGGATACAAAGAGAAGTGGAAAAACCAAGTTATATAATACCAAAGTTTGATGTGAAGTGAAATATTAAAAGCAAGAAAAAATTATTATCATTATCGTTGAGATCAATATAAATTGAGGTTTGTTACAAAAGATTAAGTAATATGATGAAGGTACAAACAATTTCAACCAATTATCTATAGAAAAACAAAATGGCGAAAAAAAGTATTGTTTTTCTATAGATAATTGGTTGAAATTGTTTGTACCTTCATCATATTACTTAATCTTTTGTAACAAACCTCAATTAATATTAATCTCAACAATAATGATAATAATTTTTTCTTGCTTTTGATGTTTCACTTCACATCAAATTTTGGTATTATATAACTTGGTTTTTCCACTTCTCTTTGTATCCATGGTTGCTAGATGTTAGTTTAAATGATTTTCCTTTACAGATTTACTTTTATGCTTTGACTGATGACGACCGTTTGAACGGTCGAAACATGTCTCACGAAACTGTTATGAAGCAGAACTAACTGCATTTCTCTTATTAAATTTGTGGAGACGACTTTGGGTTTTTCTCTATGATACCATCCCACTCCACTTTGAGAATGGACTACTTCAGATGCTTTCATGTTATTTTTTCCTAATCTTACGTTGTCATACAATTATCTAATCTGTGGAATATCGCGATTTGAAGAGTCTGCGAATGAGGAAATTGGACCATCAATAATAGTGTGATTAACGTACTCATTAGAGTTTCTCGCCGAATAACACTCAAGCATTCTTGTAATCGTCGAAAAAAACTTTGAATTGAAAAATCAAGTTTTGTTTCCTTCAGGGAGTTCTAAAAAATCTGACAAAAAATTACTGGTCCTACGGACTGACAAAATATTTGGTCGAGTTATTTCTGTCATGACAAAAATTGGAAGTAAACAATTTCTCCATCCCATAACACAAGAACCTGATATCACTTAGTATATGCATTGATCAATAAAAATAATTCCTCATGTATTTACTTCTGAAAAATTCACTCGAGCAGTATGTTAACGACATTCTGAAATTACAATGAAAAATAAACTAAGTATTCACAATTATTTTCAAAGCAATTTCAATCCATGAAACAAAATTCGAAAAATCCTACTGTCTCAAATACATCGAAAATTATATGATATAAGTGATTGCAACAAACGCTATGTGGAATGAATAAAACTATTTGATATCAAAATTGAAATGATAGATGAGTACAACATCATTCTTGGTTCTTGTCCATTCTCCGATTCACATTCCAAACTGGTTAATATAAATCTTCTGGAACGAAGATTGGGTACCAATAATTGACAATATAAGTAGACACTATGTGATATGCATAATTATTGGAAGATTGAGTGTGAATAAATATTTTGAACTACTGCACTACTGAACAACATCATTCATTTGCTGAAGCTACTTCAACACATACCTTATATTACGTAACTTGAGCACATTCGTCTAACAGTCATTAAATTGTATGTACAAGAAATCAACAAGAACCCACAATAGTTTGTGCAAATAATAATGTGGAAATTATATTTTTCACCTACACTATTACCAGAATGAATACAAGCATTTTATGCTGGTCCATGAAAAAACAGATTAATCATTATATTCATGTAATAGCCACCTGTACCTATATTCTCATTCGATTTTGATTGCAGCATTAGCAGAGTGAAGTTACCTGAACTCTCAATGACACTCTGATTTATTCATATATTATGAATCAACCCTGATTATTTCTATATGGTCCCTCACACATATATGCAATTCCTCGAATATTAAACCCATTTCTTCAAGTGGGGATCATCGATGACCTCTGATAATGACTAGCTACTATTTTCAGTCCTATGTAACCCGTCAAGGTTGATGATGAAAAATGCCATTTCGCACTAAACGAATTCGTTGTGATACCTACTGATCACATACCAGGTGACAAGTTATAAAGACAGAATTGCCAATTCTTGGGTTATCATTCACATTCGTGAGTGATTTCATGACCTGTGAGAAATTATGTGAGTAACAGCCAATCTACTCCACACTTTCACTCTGACGTTTTTTGATACTTCAGTACAGATACTCTGGCAAGCACTGAAAGTCATACATAACCTCAAGTGAATAGAGAAAACAGGAAGTGAGAGTACACGAACGTAACTACATGACATCAAATTCAAAGGTTTGTCAACCTAGTGACAAATTGAAAAAATAATTGGATACTTACCTCCGTACCTGAAGTTTCCAACTGTTAAAATACTGAGAATCGATTCGAATATTCTTCACTGTAACAAGAATAATTGGAAAACAGGAAGCGTTCGGGGCGGAATATAGGTTCAGCCAAAAGAATATGCGATGCATTCTTTTTTTGGTGGAGAGAAGAATATTATTCATCGCATCTCTATTAGGTGCACTTCAGATCAGAAGAAGTAATGACGAATAACATGATTGCATTGGGAGAAAGATCTAGAATATGCAGAAATAGAACAAGAAACTTGCCAAAATAGACGAATTTTGAATGAGAATTGAAAATTCATTTGAATTGAAAATTCATTTGAATTGAAAAATATCATTTTATATCTTTGGTGGAATGCAAGCAAACTGAGACTGAAAATATTTATCAGACTTCAAGTCGCAGTTTGGATGAACGAGAATATAAAACACTTATAGATAAAAACTCGAAGTCATCTCCACAACATTCACTGTTGTGGAGATGACTTTGGGCTTTCATCTATGAACTACACCACACCTAAGCGAAAAGCGAAAAAGTACCTACTATAGTCAGTCACATATAGTTTTCATTCCTGAAATTTGGTAATTCTTACGATTTATCATCGGAATTCCTTCTGCAATAGGAGCTAATAGAAATACTCGTGAAATTTCTAAAATAATGAAAGAAGATTGGATTCATGCAATCGAACGGCAGGACTGGTCTGACATGCTGACGAAATATGATCGTGTGTGTTGTAGACATTTTCAATCTATAAGCAGTATTAGCTCCTAACGCAGAAGTGGCAGAATGAATTATAATAAGAAATGACAAAATTTCATATTGAAAACTATGTGATGCAACTATTTACCTGGAACATCATATTCCTTTGTCTCCCGGCCGCTGCATTTTTTGTGCATTGTACAACAGCACAATGAGAAGGCATGCTTGAAATAATGAATACCGCAGGAAACACGATTCGTATGCCAAAATATTGTGAAAAACTATCTCAATCCTTTGATTCCTGAACAAATGAAAAAAGTGAGGTTGTTTTTCAATGATTTATAGGAAAGTGAGGTTGTGTTTCAATATTTTACATCCAGGGTCGGTCATCGTACATGCGACCTATTTGTTTGGCATAACATATAATCTGCTTTCTGGTTATGTTTGACTGTCAGTGCTTCTGAGACTGTTCATACTCCAAATATACGGAAACGTCGTAACAAGAGTGTCAAGTACATAAAGACACTCTCACCACAAGTCAAATCACGAATTAATAAATGCTAGGTCTAATCAGATTCGGCTCTATTGCACATATGAGCTACTCTAAGGCACCAATTAGTGGTTCAGTCTCTCTGAGAACTACACGCGCCATTAGCTGCTTTTCCGTTCACCACAGTCCGCATTTGCATCGGAGCGTCCCCGTTCCGCTTGCAGCCGGTGTGTCTGGCCACCGAGACGCAGTTCTTCCTCAGCAGACGGAACCCTATCCAGTTAGAGAACGCGCTCAATGGGATAGAGCCGGATTCATCTTGGACTTGCTCTGCCAGGCGCTCCCTTTGGATCTGGTACCTGAAATATGGATTGCCTACTGGTTAGTACGTTGATATGAGCTCTATCTGGAGATAATTTGAGATTTGATTCAGTATTCTTGAGGAAGGGCTGAAAGTTATGAGTCATATCTAGTGAGAGAATACGCTCAACGAGATAGACCTGTTCTGCCATTCACTCCCTTTGGATCTAGTACCTGAAATATGGATAGTCTACTGGTTATTTCGTTGATATGAGCTCTAGCTGGAGATGATTTGAGGAGATTTGATTCAGTTCTCTTGAGGAGGGGTTGGAAGTTATAGATCCTATCTAGTTAGAGAACACGCTCAACGAGATAGACCTGTTCTGTCAGAGTATCTCTTTGGATCTGGTAACTGAAATATGGATAGTCCAGTGTTCAGTTCGATGATATCAACTCTAGCTGAGAATGATTTGGGAAGATTTGATTTATTATTCTTGGGAAAGGGTTGGAAGTTATGAATCCTTTTCAGTTGGAGAACACGCTCAACGAGATAAACTATCTATGATAGGCTCTTCCTTTGGATCTGGTACCTGAAATATGGATAGACCAGTGGTAAGGTCGATGATATGGATAATCTACTGGTTAGTTCGTTGATATAAGCTCTAACTCAAGATAATTTGGGGAGATTTGATTCAGTTCTCTTGGGGAAGGGTTGAATGTTATAGATTATATCAATTTAGAGAACACGCTCAATGGAATGGACCTGTTATGCCAGGCTCTCCCTTTGAGTCTGGTACCTTGAATATGGATAGTTCAGTGGTTATCTCGATGATATGAACTCTAGCTGGAAATGATTTGAGAAGATTTGATTTATTATTCTTGGAGAATGGTTGGAAGTTATAGTTCCTATCTAGTTGGAGAACACGCTCAACGAGATAGACTTGCTCTGCCAGGCTCTCCCTTTGGATCTGTTACCTGAAATATGGATAGCTCAGTGATAATAGGTCGTTAATATAAGCTTCAGTTTCAGAATGAATCTTCACTAGCTCTTACTCAGGTGTGTGTATTTATAGAAAGCTCACCTTGGCTCATGATAGTGAACAGCAAATTTCAAAAGCCAAACGAGTCATTGGAGCTATGAATGCATTACTAAATAGACGAAGTAAATTTGGATTGGAAAGGAAATATTCACATCATGGCTATCAGGCAGTATGCCTCAGTAGTCTGGGGCACATGGCTGAATCTCCTATCACCAGATTATGAACACTGCATAACAGAATCACGAGAATGGTGTCATGATAATATGACCTGGTTTGTTTGAAATTTTCAAATTGCCAGGAATGTGAAACTCCCTCCAATCGTGTCCGTCATTACAGAACGAAACATCAGGACTTCCTGATAAGCTGAGTTTCACGAGAATCAACTTCTTCGAAATGTAGTTGATTATGATTCAGATGATCAATCAAAGTTCAAAAGACCGAGAGACTCCATAAACTAGATATCATATATACAATATGACCAAATTTATACTCTTTCCAGATTTTCGATATTTTTTGTTCCGCTAGATCTTTCACTATTATTATATTTCTTTTTAATCATCATCACTGATTGGATATCACCTCAGAATGTATCTCTGATACTTATTTGGGGCCGAAGGGCTGTTCACAAGAATATCGAAAACGTTGTTTCATATTAAGTTTGATGATGGATATGAGGAAACCAGGGACACTTTTCTGGTCTGGATCAAATGAATGGGGCATGGTACATCCACGCGTGTGAAATTCGTGGAAGAAAAAAGCATAAATGTGATATAGTTTCATCAAAATTGGTTCTTTTATAAAAATAAAAAAGAATAAATAACTTTTGGACCATTAACAATTGAATAACCACATATATGGTTAGTTTGATTGCAAATTACTCCCTCTACCGCCCTACTTCTGTTGATCCATGACTTATGTGTCAGTCCCCAAGACATGAAAACTTATGTAGTGAAGAATTTTTGTGCTTCATTCTAAGATTTTATTATCCTTCTAGAATGAATGAGAAAGGTATTCAAAGAGAAAGAAAAAAAATAAGTTGTTGCTTCTGACTCATCTTTGGGCCAATCTGGTACATGAATCGACCACCTGAAAAACAGCAGTCAGAAATAAATCTCGATGTATCAGAGCGTTTTTTTCCAAAGAACCCAACCATTGCACATAATCACCTGAAACGCGGATTCATCACCTGCGCGAATTGACCCAATCAACGAAATATCACGCTACAATCAATTACTAGCTGCGAGAAAGCATCTGCTATGCAAAATAATCAACTGCGTGACCGTGTGGACACAACTGCAGCGCTAAATCACCTGCTGCCTTGCATATGTTCACACTCAACAATAAAATTGCGATGCGGTTAATAGTGGTTCCACCTGCACGGAATAATTGAATGCGCGGAATTACCCAACCAATACCAATATAATAACGCTGCGCGGAATAACTTTTTCTGCATTCACTCATTGATAGAGTAGCGATCCGGCCACCAAGGCCGATACCACCGCCGACGCAGTGACCAGTACGAACAGCAAGCTGAACCTGGGCACAAGCATGCAAACGCTGTACACCAACTTTGTGGATACATCGGTTTCGCTAAATTACCCGCTGCATTTTCTCAGCACCTACTCTACAATGAAATATCGATCCGTACAGTAGCAGCGGAAAATCACTCGCAGCAGGGTGCCAGCTGCTGAGCAAAATAACCCACTGCGTGGACACATCTGTTGCGGAATATTACCTGCTACCCTTTCTTGCTCTCACTCACCGGAATAGTGGTCTAGAATAATCTGCTGCCCGAAAACATAACATGAGCGGAATTACTCAATCTACGGAACATCACGCTGCGCACAATTACTCACTGCGCGATATCACCTACCGCACGAAATAACTCACTTCGCTGACACATCTGCTGCCCTTCTTCTGCTCAAACCCAACAATAAAGACAGAATCACCCGCTGCAAGGGATAATCAGATGCACCGAATCACTCAATCTACGGCATAACCCCCGCGTATAATTACTCACTGCCTGCAATTACCCTTTTCACACACAATCACCGATACAGTAGCTATTTGGCCACCAAGGCCGACACCGCCGTCGACACGGCGATCAGCACGAACAGCAAGCTGAACTCGGGCACCAACAAGCGCCTGTCGTACACCAACTTTATGGAAATATCTGTTTCGCAAGACCTCTATAGCATTTTCTCAGCACCTACCCTACAATGAAGTGAGGATCCATACAATAGCAGCGAATCAATATCCGCTGCAGGGCACCAGCTGCTACGCGCAATAATCCAAAGACCTGACACATCTGTTGCGAATAACTACCTGCTGTTCTTCTTCTGCTCTAACTCTACCCAATCAAAAAAAATTCCACTTTTCTGACACATCTGCTGCGAAAAATTACCTGCTGCCCTTCCTCTGCTCACACTCAACGATGATGAAATAGAGATTCGACCGATATTGGTCCTAAAACACCATCTGCAAATGATTATCAGATACGAGGCATCAACCGATCCGCGAAAAAACCCACCTATACACAATCACTTGCTGGGCAGTATTACCCTCTTCGTGTCTACTTTCCGATAGAGTAGCGATCCGGCCACCGCCGACACGGCGACCAGCGCAAACAGCAAGCTGATCTCTGGTACCAGCTGCTACGCGAAGTAACGCAATGCCATGACACATTTGTTGCGAATAATCACCTGGTGCCCTTTCTCTGCTCTAACTCAACAAGAAAGTAGAGAATATTCCAATATTGATTCAAAATCACATGCTGCGCAGTTATATTAGATGCGCGGAATTACCCAATTAACGAAATCTCACGCTGCGCCCAGTTACTCATTACGCGGTATCATCTTCCACACAGAACAACACTTTGTCAGCACATCTGCTGCAGAAAATTACCTGCTGCCTTCTCTCTGCTAGCACTAAACGACGAAGTAGCGATCCAACCGATATTGGTCCTAGAACACCCGCTGGAAATGATTATCAGATGCGCAGCTTCAACCAATCCGCACGAAACCCACTTGAGCACGATCCCCTGTAGCGCAGGAATGCCCTTTTCGTGTCTACTCGCCGACATCAACACAAAATTACCTGCTGTCTTTCCTCTGCTCACACTCAACGATGTAGTGACGATCCAACCGATATTGGTCCAAGAACACCTGCGCATAATCACCTGTTGCACAGGATTACCCTTTCCGTGTCTACTTGTAGTATATACGTACTGTATTTCAACCTTCATTGATAGGATGATGACGGTTGGTTTCATCTAGAAATTGTCATTGATATCTTGTTCGTCACTTTTGGGAATGAAAAGTATTTACATTGAAACTGTATTAAATAACATATAACATGATGGCAGCTGGACGAGCCTGAAATTGTCTCTTTCTGTAATAAAGAGCGAGTGCGATGCCGCAGCGTGAAACTCGTCGAAGATCTGACAACATGGTGAGTCCAACGACTCTTATTCCTTCAGTTATGAATACACGAAGAATGGAAGGGAGAATTATAGGAAAACATGACACTCCAAGATCATAATATATAGTACAAATGTTAGATAACATCTATCGGAGAAATCAAAATTTTTGTCATCTTCTACCTAACTGATTATCGTAATGCTTGGAGGAGAAGATGTAGTATATACGTACAGTATATTAACCTTCATCGATTGTTAGGATGATGACAGTTGGTTTTATCTAGAAATTGTCAATTTTATCTTGCTTGTCACTTTTTGGAATGGAGAGTATATTACACACCGAGGTGGGAAGTGATTCATTCCTGTCGTGAGATTAGTAGGTTAATCGAGACGCAAAGCGTCGAGGTTAGCTATGAATTCGAGACAGGAATGAAACTTCCTACCGAGGTTTGTATACTATTTTATTTTCAACCATCATAATTCGATCGAAATGATCGATCGAATGAATAGATGTTTCGTTCTAAACATACCTGAATTATTACATGAGTGGGGGCAGGAAGTGAGGGCGGTTAGTAGTGAGGGGCGGAAAGTGAGGACGAGAAGTAGAGGTGTGTAATGTGACACTTCCCAACCATCAATGACGTAAGTAATGACAACATTACATATATGGTTGTAAATAAAAGTAATTACATTGAGACTGTATTATACCGGGTGTCCCAGTATACCTGTTGCAATAGTTTATCTCAGCCATTTCGAAAGATGAAAACTTGGAAATTACATGATCTACTACAATTCTAATAATCTGCAATTATGATTGAAGTCAAAATCAAGGTCACAAAAATATTGTAGTTTACTGCAATTCGTTCAATTTGAAATTCCAATTGTTGTCTTCTCCATAAAATAAAATTCAAAATACGAAGTGTGATACATCGTTGGAACGGTAATTGTGGGAAGAAATGAAAAATGGCAAAAATATATAAGGTGCTATTTGCAATAAGGAAGTTGGAGTCAAACCGGAAGTGACTTTCAATTTCTGTTTTTCTCATGTGAAGCTTCCTCAAACGAATTGGAGATCATGAAATTTTTAAATTTTCATTTTTTGAAATGGCTGAGATAATTCATTGGGACAAGTATACTGGCACACCCGGAATAACATATAACACTACCCAGATAGCACAATGTCATTCGTAGAACGTTCATAGAATATTCTCCGAGAATATTTGAATATTCTCAGAATATTCTCACAATATGATAAAAATATTCTAGAGACGTTCTATGAACAGTCGAAATGGACTGTTTCAAATATTCATAGGATATTCCTAGTATATTGAAGAAGAAGGTAGGAATTAAAAAAGCTTGCTGCGGTATGGAGATGCGAACCCACTATTGTGATTGAATTTTCACGGACCTGCAACCTTACCACTTTGCCACGGACTTTATGGATGGATAACATCAACATCAAGATGAAAACGATGAATTGGTGGGATAATCAGCATTGAGGATAGATGATAATAGGTTGTGTCAGGGTGAACATTATGAATATTGATACAAGAATAGAAACATCATATATTCTGATACGATACTGAATATTCTCAGAAAATTCAAGAAGAATATTCTCAGAATATTCGAAAAGAATATTTTAAGAATATGTCAAATTGAATGTTCATAGAATATTCGTTGCAGAATGAGAAGGTTCTCTGATCATTCTGAGAACATTCTATTAGAATATTCTGAAATAAATATAATTGAGCGTTGTCAGAATATTCATAGAATATTCTGTGCTGTCTGAGTACTAACCGATAGAGTAGCGATCCGGCCACCAAGGCCGACACCACCGCCGATACGGCGACCAGCACGAACAGCAAGCTGAACCCGGGCACGGGCATGCACACACCGTACACCACTTCTTCCCTGATGCGGCCCTGGAACACGGCCACCGCCTCCGGCCGGCCGTCCGGGCTGAATGCCAGGTCCGCTTCGGAGATGACGTCATAGAGGCTGCTGACGCCGACGTCGGCGCTGCGTGCGCGTCGGTCCGAGACGGTGACGGAACGGCGTCGGCGGGACGGGGGCGTCGTGGTGTTGGGGGCGGTTTGGGAGGTATGGGTATCTTGAGGGGTGGAGGTGGTTTGAGGGGTGGAGGCGGTCTGAGGAGAGTCAAGGTTGCGGGGTTGGCCGAAGGTGCGCGGGCCGGAGGGGAATTTGTCTCGAAGAGGCATCGGTAGGATTTCCTAGAAAGATGATATTAAAAATCAGATTATTTCTTCGAATGATAATAATAATGGTGGTGGCGATAATAATGATGATGTTTATTGAAAAATAATAGTCAATAAATTATATAAACAAAATGAAAGTTTGTATATATGTAACATGTGGATCAATGTTCGAAACTTCACACACGATAAGTTTCTTGCATTTGATATAGTAACCTCTCCACCAAGTAACTGTCGAGTCAAAAATTGTATTTATAGTATACCTCGTGTTTGTGGAAAGTACTATAGAGGTGAAACGAAAAGAATTCTCTCAGTAGGGACTGAAGGACACAAGTACAATATCAATAAAAGCCAAATCGATAAATTGAAGCTAACAGAACATATCCTTACTGAAGGTGGGCAACATATGGCAAAAGTGGAATAATATGAAAGTCATAGAAAAAGTAGTTAACAACCAAGAAATGAAAATCAAGGAATCCGCTTGCGAGACAATTGCATTACTTTCTGTTTAGTTGATATAGATAGAACATGGTATTCACCACTGGAAACTGAACATGAAAATGGTAGATTTTTTTTTATGTTCTGGTTCCCACGAAAAGGGATATCCTGTAATGTACAAAGAACATCGTGAGAACCAAGGAAAATGAGGTAGGAATTGGTGTCCTTCTTGAATTTCTGAAGGTTATATGCCTCGGGGAACACCTTCCATGGCAATGTGTTCCAGAGCCTCACTATTCGTTGGATGAACAAGTATTTGGAAAAATATGTTCTGCAGGTCTCCAATATAACCAAGAAGGGGTGCGAAGCCTCAACTCGACGAGTTAATCTTGCGGGGACTGCCGAGGGAAATACATTTGTTGATATTTCAGAAGAGCATCGTCCATGGATATATCTATAAAATAGAGCCAGATCGCCAACTTTTCTACGGTGTTCCAGTGAAGTGAGTGAGTTTGTGAGCGAGGCATCACCCACGAGACGAATTGCCCTTTTTTGGACAGAATCCAACAGTTTTAGGGTATGTTTGGGTGCTGCATTCCAAATATGGAAACCGTATTCCAGGACAGGTCGAAACTGTGCCTTATAGATCATGAGCAGCTGACTGGAAGTGAGATAGCTCCTGGCCCGAAACAGAAAACCAAGTTTTTGGAATGCACTTTTCGCAATTGATCTAACGTGATTTTCCCAAGAAAGGTTATTGCTGATAGGGTATCACTATCGAAATCGAAATGGATGTCTTCAGAGGTATGGTTAGTCCTGACATGCCTATGTTTGGCACAGTGAGATCGGCCTTCCTAGAGAAATGTATGCTTGTGTTTTGTTCGCATTGGAATCTACAAAGTTATTGGATCTATGTTGTCAACATTTCTCCCTCGTTCGTTTCTGATTTGCCTGGCTGGTATTGGAGCCCTGGAAGAGGAGGCGGTATGAAGGGTACTATCATCTGGGAAGCTGTGTACTGAACATGGAGTTGCTTCCAACAAATCGTTGATATGGAGTAGAAATAGTGTTGGTGCTAGAATTGATCCTGGCGAAACACCAGCATTTATGGTGAGAGAGTCAGATGAAACTCCGTCGACCACTGCATGGAGAGACCTGTTCGAGAGAAAACCGGCGTGCAGAGAACATAGAGGCATGGGGAGGCAAGCCATAGGATGGAAGCTTGGCGAGGAGTCCGTGGTGCCAGACTCGACCGAATGCTGCCATATATGTGAGACGTAAGCGAGTAGGTCACCAGTTGATCAAGATCAGTTGATGAAAACATCCTGTATCCTGTAACTCATTTGTAGACTGAAATCACTCATTTATATCCCAACATCAGTATAACACTGAGAAGTGTCAAACTATATAAGCTGAGCACAACTTCCAAAGGAAAATATTTCGCAATCTCATTTTGAGAACGGGAGCAGATTTGTTTCTGAAACATTTGAAGATAAGTAGCAATTCCATATTTTTCCAACATATCTATATTTCTATCCTTCAAACATTTTTTCAAACAAAGTGTCACTGACAAGCTTCTGGATTCTTCATTTTGGCTCCCTGATAAAAACATTTGTTAAACGCAGTGACGTTATGGGGCAAATCATCTGATTCGTCGACTTCAAATGTATTGAAATAATAAGAATATATTTGTTTAATAGAAACGAGGAGAGAAAATACCAAAAAATCAAGTAGAATGAATGTACCACCTTCTCGATTAACCTTCAGACAGTATGTAGGTGAGTATTCATGATATCTTATGATTGTAGCATGTATAATGATCATAGTTGTGTTATCAATAATAGTTATTTATGTAATAAGGATCATAAAGACGATCATTATGGTACAAGTCGTGAATGTTGCCGATAACACGGCGTGTGCCATAATGATTGTTTATGATTCGTATTACATACAAAATTTTATCTGATGGCATTTATATCAATACATTTTCGAAAAATTAAAAACTGCATTTTCGACATGTCACAATGACAACTATTTTTAAAGGAGTAAGTATTGTGTAGTTTCAAATATTAGTAGGTGAGTGAGCTGTGCTTTGCCATTATATTTATATTACAAATTGTAGTAATTGTTCTTTCACCATTTATAATAAATAGTTTTGTACATAGTTATGCATTTTGAATAAATATTTTTGATCAAACCATTACATGTTTTCCTTATAGAATTTCATTATGGTACTTAGTACCATAATAAATTCATTATGGTACTTAGTCCCATAATGAATTCATTATGGTACTTAGTCCCATAATGAATTCATTATGGTACTTAGTCCCATAATGAGCTTCCTTATGTCATCAAAATTGAGTGACTTGCTTTGGTGTTGCACATCATCGATAGAACAATTTCAGGAGAGAACTGTGACTGTACTTAGTCACAATAAAACTCATGAAGCCAGCTATCAGTCCACAGTGACATTTATAATATAAAAGTCATGGAAAACATCTATTCTCAAAGTGGTCCAGTTCTTTTCAACAGGAGAAAAAACGGACTCAAAGTCGGTCGACCACAATATTCAGTATAAAAATAATCAGCGTGTGACTATAGTTTCGGCTCCACGGCCATCTTCAGACACAATGAAAAAAGTACGAGTAAGTAGTACAGATGTAAAATAAAATGGTACCTGAGGAAGACTTGACTTACTTCCTATGTAGAAAACATCTCAACAATATGAACAATTAATTATCTGGTCGACGTGATATAAGTTCGAATAAATAATTGGGTGTTCTGATTTTCAAGAGTTTTAATAAAAATATCGTTACCAGGTATGGTATTCTACAATCCACATTCAATTCGTTTTTTCCTCTCAGATAAGGAGTTATATGCTCCCTATGGGGTATGCAGCAAACGCGTTGAAGTTTCAGTTTGTTATATTGGGGAAAAATTGTAATACACTGAAGAGCAATATTCTATATGGGTATAAATGAGTGATTTGACTTATTTCAATTTCACCTCTGTTGATAATTGATATTTGAATTCATGAAGTGATTTCAATTTGAAAAATGATATTTTGAAGCCGTTTGTACATGCTGTCTGTAGGTTAATCGAGGAGGTGGTACATTCATTTTTCCATTTTTTTTTTGATTTTCTCGTTTCTATAAAATAAAAATATGAATATTATTTCAACTTACGTGTAGTAAGGACGAATCAGATGATTTGCTCCAAAATGTCACTGCGTTTAAAGAATTTTGCTATCAGAGAGCCTAAAAGAAAAATTCACTAGCATTTGTATTGAAAAAAGTTTGGAGAAGAGAAATGAAGAAAAAATATCAAATTTTCACTTATCTTTGGACGTTTCGAGACCGATTCTGCTCCCGTTTTCAACATGAGAAGAGATTATTTTGATAGCGAAGTCGTATATGTCTTGAAGCTCTTCAGTTTTCAATGACAATTGGTGACGTTGACAATCAAACGAGTTTCAGGATGTTTTCATCAATTGATCTCGAATTCACCATCTTCATGTTCATATTTTAGTAGTGAATACCATGTTTTGTCTATATCAACTGAAAAAGAAGCCATGGTATTGTCTCCGTTCAGAAGAATGCAAGCAGATTCCTTGATTTTTCTCTTCTGGTTGTTATCTTCTTTTCCGATGATTTTAATATTATTCCACACTGTGCCATATGTTGTCCGTCTTCAGTAAGGATATTTTCAGCTAGTTTCGATTTATCGATGTTTCTTTTCTTTATATTGTACTTATGTTCCTTCGTCCCTACTGGAGGAGGTCTCTTAGTTTCACCTGTATAAAACTTTCCACAAACACAAGGTATTTTTTTCTTTCATTTTTTTTATCGCTTGGAGCGCACGAAAGAGAATCTCTATAATGTTCAAAGAACATCGTGCGTTCCAATTTTTTGACATTGTTCTTCAACCCCAATAAACTTAGCAGAACCACTTCAATATTTCGGATTTGCAATAGTACTATAATTTGTTACTAATTTATTACTAATTTATTACCATATTCGCAAATTTATTACCCTTCATTAAACAGAAAAAACCAACGGCTCTGCTAGCTTTATGTCAACCTAGCAGAACCATAGCTGAAAATTTGATATTAAGGAAATTTTAAATATACCATAATTTATAACTATTTTATTACTAACTTATTACTATAATCACGAATTCTTTGCCCATCATTTCAAGGAAAAAATCGACGATTTGTCTATCTCGATCTCAACCTAGCAGAACCAAAACTCAAATTACATGGTTTTTGAAATTCTGTTGTATCATCAATAAGTTACTAATTTATTACTAATTTATTACCACATTCGCAGCAGAGATTCACGGCTTGACTTGATATTCAAGCTACCTGACTTGACTTGACTTGAAATCAAGTCAAGTTCAAGTCAAGCGAAAGTTTTTTAATGTCAAGTCAAGTAATTATTTATCAAGTACTTGAAAAATCAAGTAGTTCTATCAAGCTACTTGATTTTCAGCAGTTTTATTGTGTATCTATACAGCGTGACTCACGGTCGATGTTATAGGTTAGACGTTTATGGAGAACGCGACGCGGAATTTTTCTGAACATTTCGCATACACAAAAAATTCCTGAAGTTGGAAAATCTCGATTTTTCGCACTCTATATCTCCATAATCTTTTCCGCTATACCCCGAGTGTGATGTATCGATGAAATCAACTCTTCAAGGAGAATCTGAAAATGCAATAAAATACAGGGTGTTCAATTCGAAATAACAAAGTGGTTCCTACTTTTCTATAGAAGCGCAACGTCGTGATTTTGAAAATATATTAGATCGATAGTACTGGTGATGAAATGTGAGATGCGAAATTTTCAGAAAAATCCTGCGTTGCGTTCCTATTATAAACGTGAACGTCTATAACCAACCATCGACCGTGAGTCACCCTGTATATAACTGATGAAATGAAAATGGCATCGTAAGACCGTTGATTGATATATCACGCTTAGCGTAATATATCAATCAACGGTAAGACTGACTGCGCGATCGATTCAGTCAGCTCGGATCTCGGGGAACCCCCGTATTTTGCCTAAGCGTGAGCGAGCTTGCAGAAATATACGCCGTGCGACTCGTGCGTATCAAGATCAAGTATTATCAAGTAGCTTGATTTCAAGTCAAGTAATAAATATCTCAAATTCAAGTCAAGTCAAGTACGTAATTTGCCACGAGCTTGATTTTCATGTCGAGTCAAGTAGTTTGTTAAAATATCAAGCTACTTGACTTGATGAATCTCTGATTCGCAGATTTCTAACACTTCATTCAACAGGAGAAACCAACGGCTCTGCTAGCTTGCTGTCAATCTAGCAGAGCCATAGCTAAACAATTATTATTTTGAAAACTTCAGATATACCATAATTTATTACTTTTTTATTACTAACTTATAACTATAATCACGAATTGTTTACTCATCATTTCAAGGAAAAAAACGACGATTTGTCTATCTCGAACTCAACCTAGCAAAAGCAAAACTCGAATCACACGCTTTTTGAAATTCTGTTGTATCATCGATAAGTTACTAATTTATTACTAGTTTATTACCACATTCGCAGATTTCTAACACTTCATTCAACAGGAAAAACCAACGGCTCTGCTAGCTTGCTGTCAACCTAGCAGAGCCATAGT